ATTTTGTTGACTGAGCGTCTGCCCCCGGAAATGACTGTATCTTGTGTTATGATCATTGCCCAAAGCCAAGATCAGGACCTTATGTAAAGTCGTAGCTCAATTCCAGTGAATAAAGATTTGTATGAATGAGTAAGATTTCAGTTACTTTTGCTGTATTTTTCTGTCATGCTGGCCAAGTTTATATGCATGTTACAGAAATCATTGTCAGATCTTATATTCAGTAAGGCTAAATGGTTAAACTGACATATAAATCACACGCTATTAAACAGATGAACTTCTTACAAGCAGCTCCACTCCTCTTGTTATTTGATGGTCTAAATGAGTTAAAATAATGAAACCTTTGGTATTACTTAAAGGTGGGCTACAATTTAAAGTTAGTGGATTTCTAATTTTTTCAACACTGAACCACAAATCTTATGGAACAATTTGATATATAATATATTTGTTCTGAAAACCTAGTTTTTTCTCTTTCATTCTATTTTAAAGTTTAAATAATGACTCCAAAAAAACATTGATTTTATAACCCAATTTTTTTGCCATCAGTTGTTTTATTTATTATTTTATTTTATTTTATTGCAGTACTGGGGATCAAACTCAGGACCTTGTGCTTGCCAGGCAGGCACTTATGTCACTGAGCTATCTCCCCAGTCCCATCAGTTTTAACCTACAGTTTAAAAACCTTATTATGGAGTACCTGGTTGATAAGAAAGATGCTCAGTGAACTGGTACGTATGTTGCCACTGAACATTAAAGACGAATGAGTGGCCAAAACCTGCAAACTAATGACCCTGAGCTATAGATTTGCCTAAACCCCTGTTTGATGAGTTCACAGCCTGAACTATTCTTCTGTCACCCAATGCCTTCTCAATCTACATTTTTAGTCCTGTCCATCTCTACAATTCGTGGGCCAGGGAGATGGCTCAGTAGAATAAGCGCTTCCCTGACAAGTGCAAGGGCCTGAGTTCAATCCCTGGTTCTGCCCAAAAAAAAAAAAAAAAAAAGATAGGGACATCTACAATTCGTAATTTTAAGTTTCATGCATCAACTTAGCAGTTACGTTATTCAATCAAATTCAAGGTAAGGGGCTGGGGAGATGGCTCAGTGGAATAAGTGCTTCCCTGGGCCTGAGTTCAATCCCCAGTTCTGCCAAAAAAAAAAAAAAAAAAAAAAAAAAAAAACACTGACACACAAATTAGAAGATAAGTGTTACTCTGAAGTTATTTTGTAGGTATACTTGTCACATTTAATCAGGTCATCTATGGGAAGAATTGTCTGGATAATATGGGTAAGCCTGATTCAAGCAACTAGAAACAGGCTATGAACAGATCTAAGACTGATGGGTTTCCCGAAGGAAGAAGACATTGTGCCTGTGCACTGGAGGACCAGCTCCTGGCAAGGGGTTGCAGCCTGACCTTCCTGGCAGGTTTTCCCACAATCAAATGATGTGATACTTGGCAATCAATAAAGTAGTGTCAGTGTGTGTGTGTGTGTGTGTGTGTGTGTGCGTGTGTGTACGCATCATATTAGTTCTATTTCTTGAGTGGATCTTCGGTTGATAAAGTACTTCACTGTCCCCAGTAATTCAATGCCTTGCGCAGTCCCTGCCACATTGTTTGGTGCATTGTTTTACTGAATCTGTGCCCGTCACTCTGCCCCTGCACCTCTGAGTGCAGAGCAGTCACCCCACCCTTATTTTGGCCCTCAGAGATTCTGCCTTACCTCCACATTTATAAGATAATGATAACTCAGGATTCTATGACTCTCTACATCTGTAAGTGTAGAATGGCACAGACATGCTGTGACTTTTATACTAATTTTATGATATTTCTTACTTTAATAAGCTGTAAAAACTGTAGGCAATACATCTTAAAGCTCTGAAATGTCAGCTTGCAGCAGCACTCCAGCAACACTACCTGCTACAAAACAGCCACTTAATGGGTGAATATTTATAAGTTACTACACACAGACTTTGAAAAAAAGAAACAGCAAAGCTTTGAGGTCAAGCAGACTTCAAACTTTTAGTTCAGCTCTATCTTTATTAACTTTGCAAAAATGGACAAATCATGCCAATCCTTCAGCATTAACCTTTCTTATGGAAGCAACAATGACACTGTCATTTGTTGCACTAAATTATGGAAAATACTGAAGCAATGTAAAAGTCCTATATGACTATAGTACTTGCAATATATTTTGGCTCAGTGAAATGCAATGCATTTATTATTATGAGATAATATTTAGTGTAAAGTAGTCAAATATATGAAATAATATTCAGCATAAAGTAGTCAAATTATGTATTGAACACCTACTCTAATAAAAGTAATTTGGTAAATTATCAGAAGCTACATTAACGATTGTTAAGATTTACTGAGCAGTTAATTTGGTCTAGATACTGCTCTAAAAACTTATCTTTGTTATGTCTACAACTCCAGTGAGAAATTACTGTCATTATCCCCAATTGTGGCTGAATAATCGCACATACAGAACAGTAACTATTTTCCCAAAGACATTCAGCAAAAAGTATGAGGGCCTGAATACAAGTCAAGACGGTCTAGTCTTAGAGTTCATATGCTGTGCTACGCTATTTCTTGTGGACACGTACTTGCAATTTCAAGTAGCATATACTCTACAAAGAAACACAGAAAATCTTCAAAATAACTGTGCTAAATGGCAACCTACAAAGTGCCACAAAGGAAAGGATTTTTATTTTATTTTATTTTATTTTATTTTATTTTATTTTAGGGAAGGGTCTACAGGGTGTTCAGGTTCTCACTACTAGATGGGACTCCTAGTGATCCGCCTGTTTACAGCCTCCCAAGAGCTGGGATTACAGGCCTGCGCCACCACACCCAGTCTCAATTGCCATCTGAGTGCCCCCCGGGAGAGGGGCTGGCACCGCAGGCCCAGGAATCGAGTCCCTGGCCCCTGTGCCTGCTTGCAGGTGCTTTAATACGCTGAGCTATTTGGCTGGCCCTAAATGCTCTTAAAATTTACTATTTGTCATACACATAATCCATATATCACACATGAGATCATATTAAGATGGACAAAATCGGGCTGTCCTTCCACATTTTGCTGACCCCACACAAAAAGGTGTTTCTGTAACCTCTGATTAGTGTAGGGTATCTCACAGTTATGCGCCGTGACTTAGCACAAACCACTTGTGCACACAGAAAGATGAGACTCTATTGCCACACTAGCCTTCAGAATTAACAGTTACGTTCTTTCCAATTATAATATAATCTTTTGATCCTTTATAAAGCAAACTTTCAAAAACAGACATTGGAACGATACCAAAATAAATAATATTTGATGTTTTCATTTGAAGTATATAATTCCATTATGACCATCAAATCATGTGATTTATGATAGATTTCTAGTGTACATTTTTTTCTGCAAACATTTCATAGTTCATTAATCATTAATATGAAAAATATCTGGAAAAGAAAAATAATATGAACTTGGTATAGTTAACTAAACTTTTTACAGTGAATCATACCAGTCAATCTTCATGTTAATTTTCAGGAAATGCTATAAATGTTGCAATGAATTCAAGAATGTTCACTTTATTGAGAAGATATTTTAAAGCCTTTTTCTTGCTATAAATCAGTGAGAAAAAAATAAACATTTTCTGTATTCTACAGATTTTACTGCTAGCATGACCTCTGGAAGAATTTCTTCCACAAAGCCTCTTTTAGTGTATCTTCCTGCTGTTTCAGTCATAGATTCACACTGTAAAGTTTCTTATTAAACAACAGTAATTTTCTGCTCAAAAAATTTTTGCAATTTTTCCTAAAACAACTCCTATAGCTTATCTTATTATAGCTCAATGTATAGTTCACTAATCTATCAACCTATACATTATCTTGTAAAAAACAGTGCAACTTTGTGCTTCTCACGTGGTCTTGACAGTTCAGCTGCTCACATTTGACCACCTCATAATCCCCATCCCAAATCTTTCACTTACTTTTATCTTTTTCAAATTTTGACCCAGATTTCTCTAAAAACCATTGAGGTTTGATTCTACCTAATTGCAAAAATAGCACCTTTCTTTAATATCCAGTTTGTAAATTGTAATCACCCATTTGTCTATTTCCAACACCAATTATATCAATTTTTTAAAGCCATTGATGTTCTTCAAAATTAAATTAAATTGAATGTTAAAAATTAAAAAAATAAATACAAGGCGGCTAGCCAAAGAGCTCAGTGGATTTAGGTGTCTGCTTAGGCAGACGCAAGGGCCAGTGGTTCGATCCCCGGGCCTGCTATGCCAGCCCTGCCCCAGAGGCACACTGAGATGGAGATTGAGATTGGGAATGATGGCAAATGCCTGTAATCCCAGCACTTGGGAGGCTGTAAACAGGAGAATCACTACAAGTCTGATCTAGTAGTGAGACCTTGAACACTCTGTAGACCCTTCCTTAAATACAGAAAAATGAATAAAATAATTAATTAATTAAATTAAATAAATACATGGGTGTAATATTTATGCTTCTTAATTAGCATATGATAATTTGAACAAATGAATAGCAAAAATACACTTTTTTCTGTTTTTCAACATTTTTAAGATTTGGTTTTGTTTTCTTGGGTGAGGATTACATTTATTAAAATTATGGCTCATTCTCCTAATTTCTACGTTAATTTTTAGTTTTAGTCTGTAATGCAACATTAGCATGCTTTCAAAGGGTGCGAATGAGTCAGATGTCCAGTTTTCTGCAGGAAATGATATTACACATAATCTGAACAACAGCCAAAAATACTTGAAAAAGTAATGCACGTGGTATGCAACGTAAGAAGAAATTTCAAAAGAAACAATTTTAAAGGACTAGTTTATTTGGAGAGAAAACTTCTTTAATTATTTCATCTCCACAGATTTTTTTTTCAGCACTCACCAAAAAAAGAAAAAAAAAAAAAAAGGCCAATGCTTAAGCAATCTAAGACAACCATCCCTAGTTAGTAATACTACAACATAATACAATCATTACCGTATGAACTCTTTTTACCTTTGCATTATAGGGAATGTAATGTTTTGATAAAGCCTCAGGTGTATGCATCCATGTTTTGTCTGCAACAAAGAAGACACAACATTAAATTACAGGTGAGTATGCTGTCAACATCATGTGTTAGTGCCTGTGGGGAGTCTGGGATGGGCGGGGACATTTCCTGTCCTGACATTCTGCTAAATTAAAGAAGAGCAGAGCTCACACTTAGAACAATATAACTGAGATTGATTATAGCAGTCCTTTTTGATATAAAAGTTCTTCTACAAAATTTTTTTAAATAACGCAAATTATGCAGAAGTTTTAAAGAATATATAAAAGTACCAACACCAGGGAATGTGAATAATACCTCTCATACAATTAAAGACCATTACCTCTCTCCTTTCACTTTATGCTTTCATTAATTACAGGTTTTTTTTCTTAGTTCATATAACAAAAGCGTACTTTTTCTCATTGTAATTATTTTTATCATCAGGATTTAACTATTCTAAATGAAAAAGTTACACTAACTTTTTGTATTTCTATGAAGCTGAAAAAAGTTCTATGTTCATTAAGAAATCAACATAACTTTAGGGAAATCTTTATTCTAAATTTAAAGAAACATTGACTGAAGGTCTACAATGAGGAATTCTGAAAATAATTTTTTTGAAAATAAGTAATTTTGAAAAAGAAAATAATTTTAAAGCATTATTGGAAAAATTTCTTAGATAAATATAATAAAATAGAAATAAATGTACCTCAAATGTATAGATCTTGAAGCTAACATGACTATATAATTTGCATTTTGTTTTCATATTGTAGTTATTTATATTCTCATCAATTTTTGAACTTTTCCCCTATATTGACAATATTTCATGTGGGAATTTTTTTGTTACTTGATTAAATTATTATTTACATGAATTTCTACTTCTGGATAAAATTTGATTTCTGAGGGATGTAGCTGAAGCCGAGGAGACAACTCATTGGAATAAGTGTCTGGCTGAGGGGTGCAGCAGAGGTAGAGACTGATCACACACACAGAGCTAAAGCAAGGCCAGCCCCAAGAACACAGAGCACCTGAGGTGAGTCCGACAAGCGAGTTGGTAGGCAGGTGTTTCCCCCTGGCAGGAGAGGGGCTTCACCTGTTCTCAGCCTCCTGCTGATTGTATAGGTCCATGCACTGCAGCTGTTGGGCAGCTCCTTTCGCGCATGGGGTTGGGGGGGGGCTCTGCCTGAGCTCAGCTTTCCATATTGTTTCCTGCCTTCCTTTCTTCACCCTGCACCATCGTCCCTCTAGGAACTTCAAGAGCTACATTAGATGGTGAAGATTTCTATGATTTTCCATCTTGGTTATAACATTTATGACTGCTAGTGATGATGACACGATTTGTTCAGGAATAATCTGTACTTAGAGCTGAAACAGTAGGTCACAATATGGTACACCAAAACAATAAAAATACTAAACATGAGCCTTCAGTAAATTTAGAAAGAGACCTAATTTCCCTTTTTTCTCCTTTGCTCAATTCTTATATCTTCATTCTTAAATATGCAACATTTCTGAGGAAGATATAAAGTCTGGCTAATGTCTGAATATGATGGTTCATACCAGTTCTGAGGCAGATAGACAATTTCTTTCCTCTGTAAGCCTCTATTATTTGAAAACTGGTGATACTGCTTCTGCTATAGTTTCATATTGCAGTGACCTAGAAAAAGGATAGGTGTCCCTAGCTGTTTCTGATGGCAGACCAAAATAAACACAATATTAAATTACCAGTGGGTAAGCTGCAGTTGCTACAATAATACAAACAGGCAATCACAGAACACTAAATGCAAATGTTCTAGGGCTGTGCACTACATAACATCTGTTTAGAGGTAGCATTCTTCATACCCTGAAGGATTTCCTGTACAAATCCTTCCCGTCACCTGAATTTATACTTTGGTAAATGAAAAAAGTCACAGAGTAAAACTTCTGGCTGCCTCACAACAATGCAGTTAGATCTAGAGAAAAAAACAGAAACATTGGACTTCACTCACTAATTGTGCCCACAGAAGCAATCAGATAAACAAAACGGGCACAGAAAGAAGAATAAAGCATGCTGTATTTCATTTCCTTGAAAGTCAGTAACTCAATATTGAATACTTACTTGAGAGGAAATGCTAACATTTCGCTTTACAAATGTCAAACTACTGTGACTGCTCATGAATAAATTTAGGTTTTTGAAATATAATTAATAAGGAGCTCATCAGGAAAAAAGCAGTAACTTCATTATTTATTGTATGCATATTTTGAATATGTGGTTCTATGAAATGATATATTTGGGACAATTTTCATAAAAAAGAAAATAATTATTAAATAGTTAAGAATAAAGTATGCATTAAGATTATAGTTACCCAGCAATATGTCAAGTGTTAGGAATGTGGAATATAATTCATAGAATTATTTAATTATACTTATTCACATGCGATTTTTATGCTTTTCACTATTTTTTTTATTTTGAGATAATAAATAGATGCAGGATTTTCCAAGTTTAGAGAGAATACTCACATAATCTGTAAAACAAATCACTCAGATTCAATCTATGATTATAATGTTAGACTAACCATTAAGGAGCTCTTCAAAATAGCTCAAAATAATACAAATTCAATTTATTCAGTTTTTTTCACAATTACTGAGCAGCTACAAAACCATTAAAACATTTGCAAAGAAATAATTAGAACCTGGCTTATTCGATCAAATACCATAATACTAATTCACAGATCTTAATTTCCAGAAAAGAAAACCAAAGCAGCTACATTTAAGTAAGATGATAACCTCTCCTCCTCAGGCTTTTGAGGCACTTAGTAGAACTGCATGTGTTGATCAAGAAAACTTGATAAAATAACGTACAAGGTTTTACTGAGAGAAGACCATTTTACTTTGTTTAGAATACTACACATTAGCTATAGAAGGAAATAGCGCTTGAATTATAAATTCATTTATAGCTCTAGATTCTTAGAATATATGAAGGCTTCCATAAAATTTAAGTCACTATCTGAAATTAAAAGTCAATAGAATAATGCTATTGGTTAAACAAGAAACAGAGGCTCTAAGAATTCTCACTTTAACAAATGTCACAACTGATGAGCATTTGCAGAACTTCACATATCAATTCTAGTTGGACTTGAAGCAAAATATTGACCAATAAATTATTTTTTCTATTTTTAAAGAATAAAAAGTAGTGATAGAGAAAAAAAGCAGCTTTAGAAACAATACAAGATTTCACCTAACAAAGTAATAGGAATTCAACAATGGTTACTGTATTACAGGATGTTGTCTTCCAATTAGTTATTCAGATTGACCAATAAACCCTTGATAAGGGCACTTTGTAACTAGACTTGAAAAATAAGACAAGGTGAGGGAAATTAAAAAAGAATGACATAATGGCTAAGGAGTCTACTTCCTGGTTCACCAAATCGTTGCAACTTCCCCCAAAATTGTGCTCCTACTGTGCACACATAGCACAAACATGCAGCCATGGTCACCTGGGTAATTATCCAGTCCTTCAGATTTGTCAGCTTCCTTCATATAAATGCTAATCAGATGTAGTGTAAATTTTAAAGCCTTGGGAAAGGGAGTTGCAGGAATCACACGTGTACAAAGAACTGATTTTTAAAACAAAGATAATGTGATTCAAGTGATGAGTTCTGATGTGAGATACTGTTGCTTCATTGAAAATATACCAGGATGATTTCTGGATATTGTTACTAGCAAAAGAATAAAAAAAAGTCTTGTTTTTGAGGTTTTAAAGCAGAAACAAGCCATATACCACACAACTGCATTTGTTTCTCTTTATTGAGAAAAATGAATAAGTGTACTTGTAGCATCACAAATCACATCATCTAAATTCACACTGAATACATCCATTTTTTGTAGCATATCCAAATGTCTGAACATTTCCCACTCAAGTCATGAAAGCTAGTAATTTGAGTCATTTTATTATACTTTTACATGACTCTGTTAAAATGATTTCCCCTACATGAAGTCAATGACCTTATAATTTGCATTGTTTGTCCTTTATTAGAAACTAAACCCTAGGGCTAAATGGAGCCTCTTCAAACTCTGAAAAGCAGATCTCACTACATGCCAAGAATCCTGCTGCCTTGACAGTTGCCTAGCTTTTCTCCTCTGAGAAAGGTATAATGTGTCACTTTTAACTCTTTTGATCTTTTTTAAAGAGATGATACTCTATGCCTGGCTGTGCAGTAGAGTGCCAACCGCTCTGGCTTCCATCCTGGACTGTCCACTGCTCACACGTTAGAAGGATAAACTAAAGCCACTGGTCATCACACCTGACTTCATTACTAGGAACTGTTTACTCACAAACCACAGAAAGTGAATCTTCCAAAGAACAACACAATCAATAATTGCACAATATATGTTTTAAAGATGAGATTTTCTGGATCTTTATTGTGCAGTTTACGATATCACAGTAAATCTAACTGCATGAAATAAGTGTGTGAAGTAAGACCTAACTGTATGACTGACATATCTATAACCCAACCTGGTCATAACATATTTATGGCCCTACTACATTATAAATCATCTATGAATCTGATTAGCATTGCTTAAGTATTCTTTTCTGATTCATTGATAGCATGTTTAATGGGGAGAGTCCTCTGGCCTACACCAGAAAACTTCTAGAGTGAAAATTATACATTCATTTAACTTCATTTAACTAGACAACACTATGAAATACTTCTTTCCTATGAAGAAACCAAAAAATATTTTGTCAACTGCTATGTTTTCTTGTTCTTTGTAAAACATCATTTAAACTAGCTATTTATTGTCATCCTTACTGATGATCATGATATGCTGAATCTAGATTTCCTTTAATTCTTATCTGAATATTAATAATGAACCTGTTTGGTCTCATTGCTATGACTCCACTTATCACCAATTCTTACCTATTACTCAATAATACATGAGGTGTGCACACACGCGCACACACAAATACTCAGGAATTTATAGACTCAACCCCAGATAATTTTGTAACATATAGCCGTATAAAGTACAGTTAGAACTAGGTTTCAGATCATTTTATTCTTTGAAACTTAACATAGCATGAAGTTACAGGGGAACATATTGTCACAGACATATTGTGAACTAATTAGCAATCGCTGTACATTTTAATTGATCTAATTTCATTTTATTGCTGAGTGTTGTTGGTCTGATAATAGGTAAAAGTGATTTCTTATCATCTGCGCTTTATTTCCATAATAATATTGATTTGATTTCCAGGTCCTCTAAAATGAGCATACTCACCTTTCTTCCTGCTAAAAGCACGATTCATGATGAGAATTTGCCAAATGTCTGCTCGGTTCAGTCACACTTTATACCCTATGAAAACAAAACAAAACAAAACAAAATTAAAACATAAAGCACTGTTGTACAGTCTCTTGTGTCAATGCATTTTATTTTTTTTTAATTTTATTTATTTATGTGTGTGTGTGTGTGTGTGTGTGTGTGTGTGTGTGGCCAGCTCAGCCCACCAGGGGGCGAGGCTGGCTGGCATGTGGTGCTGGGGGATTGAACCATGGTCCCTGTGTTTTGCCAAGCTTGTTCCAAGTAGGTGCTTTAGACCACTGAGCCATCTCTCCAGCCCCATGTGTCAATGCATTTTAATGACAAAGCCTTTTAAATGAGTTACAAGCTATATTCTAAAGTATCCCAACAGCACGGGGTAAGAATAAACATACTCAATATTAAGACTGACACTACATATCAACTAAAATTCCTCCAAAGTTCTTTAATTTTATGTCTTTCTTACTATGCACACATTATTAATTATATTTATCTGAAAAACTGGAAAAAGCTCAGAACTTTCCTCTGAGTTTACTGGGAAGAAGTGTGGTCAGATTTGGCGTTCTCATGAACACCAGTGGTACATAAACTGAAGCTACTGGATTATTCCTTTAAGAATAAAATCAGCTTTAGAAATCCACTTGCACATATAAACATTTACGTTACTGAACTGAGGCCCATATATGTTCCATGACTGGCACAAAGCCCCAGAGGCAGGTACTACTAGTAGGGGTTAGAAACAGGATAGAGTATTTCCTGCTTACATGGAGCTTTCAATGTGGGCTGAGGATAGGAAACAGGAGAGTAGGCATACTGTCCCTGCGTCACATGTAGCATGGGATTCCAAGCCAGAGGTCCTTTTGCGTATGCATTATTTTCCCAGAAAGGAGGTAAGGTTACTATCTACTCACTTTGTGCTTTATTCCACTGTGAACACTACTCATTAAAACCAGGAACTTGGTTAATGGGTTTAACCTTCTATATAGTGGTTGCTCAGTGGAGACATTTTCAGTGTTAGCTACAAAATGCTTTCATGTGAAAACCAGATGATGCACAGTACTCCCTCAGAAAGCCTCAGGCAGTTCATCCTAGGAAGGGAAGATGGATTTCTTGCTGTGGCTGCACTACCGTCTCCATTTGAGGGCCATGAAAGACTCAGAATCAGTGATCAGATTAGAAGAAGCTGATTTTTTACCACTCCAGCAAAGAAGTGCTCTCAGACTGACCCCCAAGAGCCTTGCCTTTCTGCTGTATCTCCCATCAGGACAAGTGTCTCATGGCAAGTGAAAGACCTTCTTCATTTGAAACTATTACTTTTAAATTACTTTTTTAATTACTTGTGTTTTCCACTTTTCAGAATGATTTCAACCATATTAGGAATGCATTTAATCACCTGATCTACTTTCCATGACATTGCAGGGACGCGTTTTGACAGGAATCAAAGGAAATCCATGTGTCCAGTGTCAGAGCACAATTCTAGGGACTTCCATTTTCAGACGACGAGAATGTGGCTGGATATGGGGTGCAGCCTCTGTGTGCCCACATGCTGCCCACGAGTTTCAGGAGGAAGATAACACAGAGGCTAAGAGTCACACACGAGCCTGGAAGCCGTCCCCCACCCCACTGTGCTACACAGGTATACTGTGGCTTGTGCTCGGAGACCTCCATCATGGTCCGAGTTCTTTTATTCTCCCTGTGTTCCTCAAACCAAGAAGCCAGAGTTCCCAGGTAACTCGGAACTCAACCCATAATCCCAGTGCACTGCTTCTTGTAACTGCTCCTTCCTTTGCCCCTGGGGACATTTCTCTGTCTTCCAGCATTCAAGGTCCACCATTTTGGAGCCATACTCAACTCTTTTAAGGTTTCTTTACTCTGTTAGTGTTCATGAAGCCCAACTGCAATCTGAAGAGAGGCGCTCAGCCTTTCTGAGCTTCCTCCCACCACAGTCTTCTCACCCTAGAAAAAGTGTGGCTCTATGTTACTATAACTCTTTTCTGTTTAAAACTCCCAATGTCTATGAAGTTTATGCCAACACACACACACACACACACACACACACACACACACACTATGAAACAATAGGGAGCACATTATATTCTGAACACCCCCAATGTTGCTTTTCATTCATAACCTAACAGACAGTTAGTTACTGATATATTTTGAAAAAAATAAGGGAAAAAAACCATGAAAAAGAAATAAGATTTAAGTTTTAACTTCTATGAAAAAATGAAAGTAAATACTAGGAAGTTTATTAACCAGTTTATTAACCAGTTATGTTTGATTTCACTGTCAAACATCATTCTTCAACTATTTATTTGATTTATTACTCTACTCTTTTGGTAAAACATCTTACTACCCAACTAGAAAACAAGGGGCCAGGGAGATGGCTCCATAGAATAGGCGCTTCCCTGGCAAGTGCAAGGGTCTGAGTTCAATCCCCAGTTCTACCAAAAATAGATAAATAAATAAACCCAACTAGAAAACAAGCATACACTGCTCCACTGCGTTAATTACACAGTGCCTGATGTCAGGATGGGTTTCAATATACCGTGTATTTATATGACATGCGATAATACATAATGTACTTTTATAGTTGAGATTAAGAAAGTATACATTCATATCTGATGTTTAATAATTACCTCTATACACAAATAAACTATTTCAACTTATAATGTAATATAAATCTTTTCTTTTGAATAAATTTTCCATAAATGCTTTCAGTGATTATTATCATTTGGAAGTATTATTTCTCTATAAATAAATATTTCTAAATCATAGCTACTTATATAAAGAATTACATATGTAACATTTTATCTTTTATTAATTTTTCCCAAAAATATAGCATGGTACAGTGTATTTTACTAGCTCCAAATCATTACTGTTTTGCGCTTTCTATTTTAAAATTAAAATGGAGTTGTAATACAACATGATTATCACTTATATATAAGAATGCACAATTCAATTTACACTCTCTAAGATGTAATATTGAATAATGAGTGTGTACTCTGTACTTTTTATATTTATTTTTGAAACAAAACTCTTTGGGACATAGTGGTACATGATACTACATGAGAACTTGGACTAATTTCCTCAATGGCAACTTTTTTTTTTGAAAAGGTATTTCAAACCCACTCTGAAATATATGTAGATACCTTTCCATGTTATGTATTTTTATCACCGTATTTAGACACTTTTGCTTCTGACCAAGATGAAATAACAAAGGTTAATTTTATCTTGCCACAAAAGCATCTTAAAAATGAATCAAAGAATGACTCTTCATTTGCAGAAAAAGACATTAGTCCATGGAAGATGACAAATAAATGAAGCAAGCCCCATGATTTCCCAGCATACTATTTGGAGAAATTTCTACACTATAGCTGAAGGAAGCAGAACTCAGTCAGGTCCCAGCCATCTCCCATCGTTGATGAGAGAGACATCTTTGAAAACGCAGCAAAATCAAAAGATGCAGTATTCACACCAGCTGCACCAGCAAGGAGAAGGCTACTGAGAAAGAACAAGAGACAGCTGCAGAAGATCCTCAGACGCCTGAGCACTGAAGAATGCCAGATGCCTGGACACCTGCAACAGTCAGCAATGGGAGAGGAACTTCTGTAATTCACAAGACAACAACTAGATTACTATTGAAATACCTGCTTTACTAATGGGGAAAGACGAAAGGTGGAATAAGTGATGTTTTGGTATAGCCTAACAAATCTTTAAAATAACTGGACCCAGGTTGGGGTGCACTGCTTCCAAGCAGCTTCACTGGATCTCAAAACTGTCCTCGTGAATATTACAATGAAAGGGAGGTAGCTCAGTAGAATACGCACTTGCCTGACAGGAGCAGGGTCCTAAATACAACCTCCATGACTGCAAAAAAAGAATACTACAATGGAAGTAAAAACGATCTGGAATCCACAACGTCTAGCATTTCAATTTGAGACTGGGTGTGGTAGTGTGCACCTGTGATCCCAACACTTGGGAGAGTGAAAGCAGGAGTATCACTACAAGTCCGATCTGCATAGTGAAACCCTGTAGACCCTGCACTAAATACATAAAAAAGTAGAAAAATACAGCCCATAATGAGGAGAAAAATCAATTAAACCTCACCCAGAATTTGACAAAGACAGTAGAAATAAAGACATTTAATCATATTTTATATGTTGAAGAAGCTAGGCAATAGATTAAAAGTATATGTGTGTGTGTGTCAGACTAACCTACGTGTAACCTAAATCAAATTTCTAGAAATGAAAGCCAAAATGCATGAGATATAAAAGTACAGAGCATGTGGAATTAATGGCAGATGAGATAACACAGAAGAAAAAGAAAGTGAAACTAAAGATACAAGTACAGAAAATAGCCCTAATTTGATAGATAGATAAAAGAGATCAATGCAAAGACAGAAGAAAGCAAGGGAATAGGGCTAGGAAAGGAAAGATAGATTCCTGAACTCTGAGAAAACTTCCAGAAAATTCCAGTCAAACAGTCCCTGCATTGGAAGACAGAGAAAAATATAGCAGAAATCTATTGAAGTGTAGGCTGAGAATTTTCTAAAGAATGAAAATCACAGCCCCATGGAGAAAGATAGAGAAGTAGAGACAGAGATTGAGTACAGATGTTAAAATTAGGATCTTAAAAACAATGTAAAGAAGACAGAAAAGAACATCTTTAAAACTGAAGAAACTGAAGTTAAGCCACAAAGAAACATACAATCCAATTAGAGATAAGAGTAAGAGTGATTACTGAGACTGATTTTAAGTTTCTTCATACAACACTATTATGCAATTTTTGCTTTTAAGAGTACAGAGGCGAGATCCTATCCTAAATATTTGTAGTATACCGAAAATAGCATTAAGCGACTATATAAATCCATTTAATGTCTACAGTGTCTGAATATGTTCAAGCCCATAAATGGAAAACTTAAATGTGACTAAGGATAATTTATAATTCATTATTTCTAATTTACCAAATTGTTGCCATCATGTATTTAAAGTAAACCATGAATCTTAATCATCAGGCAAACTTTAAAAGATACT